ATAGTGCGCATGTTTAAATGGCAACCTGTGCAGGGTGAACCAGTCCTCCTTCCTCACGTCAGTGCCTGACCCCACAACCCTGAATTGTATAATGGATGGATGGATGTTTTTTCCATTGGTTGGTTATTGCTCAATTGATCAAATATAACATTATGATCACTGACAGGTGATGTTAATAACACTAATTATTTCTTCACCTGCTATGAGGTGGGATATATTAGGGAGCAAGTGAACATTTTGACCTCAAAGTTAATGTGTTAGTAGCAGAACAAATGGGCAAGTGTAAGGATTTGAGTAAGTTTGACAAGGGCCAAACAGTGATGTTAGATAGCTGAGTCAGAGCGTGTCCAAACTGCAACTCTTGTGGGGTGTTACCGGTCTGCAGTGGTCAGTATCTATCAAAAGCCATCCAAGGAAGGAACATTGGTGAACCACTCACAGAGTTATGGACACCCAAGGCTCACTGATGCCCGTGGGGTCTTATCCAACAGAAGAGCTACTGTAGCTCAAAATGCTGGTTCAGTAGAAGAGTGTCAGAATACACAGTGCATTGCAGTTTTTTGCATATGGGGCTGCATAACTCCAAACTAGTCTGAGTACCTGTGCTGACCCCTGTCCACCGAAAAGTCCTAACAAAGGGCATGTAAGCATCAGAAGTGGACTACGTAGCAATGGAAGCAGGTGGCCTGGTCTGATCAATCGCGTTTTCCTTTTTTTTACATGTCGATGGCCGGGCGTGTGTTAGTCACTTACACTTACAGCATAGTACACCTCGCACCAGGATGTACTATGCTTTGGGCAGTGCTCTGCTGGGAAACCTTGGGTCCTGCCATCCATGTGTTACTCCTACCTAACCATTGTTGCAGACCATGCACACCCTTTCATGGAAATAGTATTCCCCGATGGCTCTGGCCTCTTTCAGCACAATAATGCCCCCTGCCACAAAGCAAAACTGGCTCATAAATGGTTTAAGGAACACAGCAATGAGTTCGAGGTGCTGACTTGGCCTCCAGATTCCCAGATCTCAATCCAATCGAGCATCTGTGAAATGTGCTGGACGCCTCGAAATTTACAAGACTTACTGTATGTGTTACTAACACCTTGGCGTTAGATATCATAGCACATCTTGTGTGATCTAGTGGAGTCCATGCCTCAATGACCATTGCTGTTTTGGCAGCAAAGGGGAACCGACACAATATTAGGCAGGTGGTCATAATGTTGTGCCTGATCGGTGTGTATTGCTATTTGGCGTAGTCTGTTTTTAGATAGGATAGTTTCTCTTTACATGTATAATTGATATTAATAATCTCAATCTACTAAATAATTAGTAACTGCACTCTAAAATAAATGTAGTGAAAGCTTCTCAAAATGTAGTGGAATAGAAGTAGAAAGTAGCATGCTGCTAGAATCACTGCTATAGAGAGAGGAGGGCGGGCGGCTGTCTGTAACAGCGCTTTCTAGAATCTGGCAAAGCTGGAAATTGATAACAAATTAGGCTCACAGTTAGTCTTCACACATTGCTTTCATTTTAAAATGTTTCTGGCAACTCATTTTAGCCTTGCAAGAGAGCTGTGGCTGTGTAAAACAAGCCAAAAGTGGATGTTAGAGTAGAAAAGATCACTTTAGTACGAGCTGGTAGGGCGATGTGTGTTATTAACCCACAAAATTTTATAGTCATAGTAATTAGAGCAGTTGTTAACTCTAGAAGAAGTTGTGCTTGACTTCACCTGAGCTCAAGGTCTCCAATACATCGGTGTATCTTTGCAGTGTGTAGGTGTGTGTGTGAGTGGAGAGGCTGCACAACGAACACACAGATAACTGACAGTGCCATTGTCATGGATGTTGTGTTGCAGACCTTTGTTGGGGGGGAAATAAGATGCTGCTCAGGCTGGCTTTTCTAGTCTTTCTTTTGCATGTGCTCCTAAAAACACATTCACGTTCAAACAATATTGTTCCTTACTTGTAGCTGTGAGTGAAAGGCTTACCTTCCATATCACCATCTTGGCCTTCCTCCACCGTGGTGAAGCTAAGAACCTGTTCTTTCTTGTAGTACATCAAACTGATTTTACTTATTTTCATATGAAACTTTTTCTTGGTTTAAAAAACAAACTTTGAACTTGAGTGGACCGGACGAGTGAACCTCCACTTTCTCATATCTCAATATAAGATAAAGAAGTGCAATTTCAACAGTACATCTTAGTTTTTCTACATGATGAATGGGTAAAGTTACAGTGTTGCATGTTTTTGTTTTATAAAACAACAAAGTGTAAAATTTCTAGTAGACATTGAAAAACAGGAACTTTTCTGTCATTGAACTATTTAACTCAGGGGTGTCAAACTCCAGGCCTCGAGGGCCGGTGTCCTGCAGGTTTTAGATATCGACCTGGGTCAACACACATGAATCAAATGATTAGTTCATTACCAGGCCTCTGGAGAACTTCAAGACATGTTGAGGAGGTAATTTAGCCATTTAAATCAGTCGTGTTGGATCAAGGACGCATCTAAAACCTGCAGGACACTGGCCCTTGAGGCCTGGAGTTTGACACCCCTGATTTAACTAATACCTACACCACCAATTACTTTGGTGTAGTATGAATATCTGTGGGGGTGGTCTTTATCTGCAGGAAAAGCTGTAAAACATATAGAAACACAGGGTTTTATGTTTTACACACCTCATTTAGAGTATACACCCACTGTACACTTTATTAGGTACACCTTGCTAGGACTGGGTTGTACCCCTTTAGCCTTCATAGCTGTATTAATTCATCATTTATTCAACAAGCTGCTGGAAACATTCCTCACAAATTTTGGTCATTTTTGACATGACAGCATCAGACAGTTGCTGCAGATTTGTGGGCTGCATATCCACGACGTGAATCTTCTATTCTACCACTTCCCAAACGTGCCCTATTGGATTGAGATTTGCTAACTGTTGAGGCCTGAGTGTAGTGTCATGTCTCATTGGCATGTTGAGTAAACAAGTTTCGGATGATTTTACCTTTGTGACACGATGTGTATCCTGCTGGACGCAGCAGTTATAAGATGGGCACACTGTGGTCGTAAAGGGATGAACATGGTCGGCAAAAACACAGAGACAGGCTGTGGTGTTTCACTGATGCTTAATTGGTGCTAAGGGGGCCAGAGTGTGCTGAGAAAGTCTCCCTTACCTCAATTACACTACCAGTAGCCTGAGCCGTTGATAAAGGCACATGGATTCATGTTTAATGGTGTTCATGCTAAATTGTGACCCTGTCATCTGAATGTTGCAGCAGAAATCAAAACTCATTAAACCAGGAGATACTTTTCAAATCTTTTTAGTCTTGGTGAGCCTGTGTAAATTGTAGTCTCAGTCTCCTTTTCTTAGCTGACAGGGGTGACACCCGGTGTGGTCTTCTGCTGCTCTACTCCATGTGTTGTGCAATCAGAGATGCTCTTCTGTATATCTAGGTTTTAATGAGTGGTTGTTTGACTTACTACTGCCTTCCTATCAGCTTAGAGCAGTCTGACCATTCTCCTCTAGTATCAACAGGGCTTTTTTGCCCAGAGAACTGATTTTCACTGAATATTTAACTTAAAAAAAACAATATTTTCTGTAAACACTAGAGAGGGATCTGTGTGAAAATCCCAGTAGAGCAACAGTTTCTGAAATATTTGGGGCAGCACGTCTGGCACCAACGTTCAAAGTCACTTTAATCACCTTTCTTCCTCATTCTGATGCTCGCTTTGAACTTCACTGGATTGACCTGACCATGCCTACGCACCTCAAAGTACTGACTTGGGTACAGTTATGTATCACAAGGTTTGGGACAACTATATTTTAAAATTTTTGGTAAAAAATAATGAAGTGATTTATAGTCAGTAAATTAGGTGAGCATTTCCTGAGGTTTTCTTCACTCTTGACTTTTATCTAAGGATAATCGTGATCTTTCCCAAAATCATTAGAAAGCATAGAATAGCATTAGTCATCATTATTCAAATAAATGAAATATGTTTTCAGCGAACATGGTGTTTTGATTCATTAAAAACCACCCGTGGGTGCTCTGTTGGCCTCGGCTGTTAAGCTAAAGCCCGTGAGCCACAATGTCCCAAAATGTTTCACAATATGTTGATAAAAGAAATGTAAAAACGCCACAGAAGAACCTGAATGCTGAAAAATGGGAATATGTAAATGTAATTTCTGGAAGACTTGGTTGGACCTCCAGCTTATTCCTCCTCTTCACCCCAGCTGATCAGTGATCAATGAGTCAATCAAATCACAGAAAACCTACGTTATTACGGTTACTGTTATAGTGTCTCTGTGGATGGATTATTGTTTTACATGATTTTAAAAGCTCATTTGTTGAAGTTTGATATTTTTAGTGCTTTTTTCCCTTGAAGTGTGAATTAGACGCATTAAATTCTTCTTTCTCGCTTTCATAATGCTGCAAAATCATAATAATAAAACTGTATCAAAATGAACTTTGAAGAAATAAGTCTGACTGCAAGGGGTGCATAGATTCTGTCTGAAAATGTAATTGGCACAGCTGTAAAATTGCTTCAGCCGCATCATTGCCCTCCTGGAAATGAACACAGTCACGGTCTTTAGATGTGGTGGGGATCAAAGACAGATACACATTTATGAATATTATGTAGATTTATGAAAATTTAATTAATAAAGAGTAATTGCCCAAAAAGTCAAAGTCAGCTGAGTCCTTAATAACACATTAAATCAAGTAATTAAGGAAGGCAATAGCCTTAAAATCCATTAAATAGACTGACATGTAGAGAGACAGATGCAAGCAGGATTAGGGGTGAAAAGTTAGTAACCTGCAGAAGCCTGGAAATTCAAGCGTTCACCGCTAATACCAAAATTATCCAGGTCCTTTTAGCACTAAGCCTCGACTCCAGTAAAAGTGTCTGCTGGACTTCAAACCACACTCTGGCTGCTGTAATTAGTGAGATTGCAGGGGATTCACATAAGTAGGCCAACTTTTTAAAATCTCCTGTCGTCTCCTTTCCAGTGGACGGAGCGATCCACCGCGCTGCTGGTCCCATGCTAAAAAAGGAGTGTGCTTCGCTCAACGGCTGTAAGACAGGAGAGGCCAAGATTACCTGCGGCTACCGCCTTCCTGCAAAGTGTGAGTATAAAGTGTTTGTGTAACTTCTAGCAGCTCCGGTGAGGCTGCTTCCATGTGTTTCTGCTGGACAGCTTACAGGTGTAAATGTGTGGGAAAGTGTAACAGGGATGCAGGACGATGTGGAAAAAGAGTTGCACTGTTGAGTCTTTCTAGAAAAACGAAGGTTAAACTGCTTCATGAATTTAAAAAATGGCTTTTAATAAGGAATTGGTGCTGTCTTAATATCAACAATTTCCCCTTTTAACGAATTCGTTTAAATAACTTGTGCATTTTTTCTCTTAGAGAGGTCTTAAAGTAGCTCAGTTTCCCCTCTTTACCTCAAACCCGAGCAGCAGCACAAACTCGGATGTATCACTGAGTTCCATTTATAGCAGAGTAAATGGAACTCAATTATTAAGTGGCACTCCACTGCTGCTTGTGTAATGTGATGAAACTGTAGGGTCAACATGACAGGAGGCACTTTTCTAGATATTCTCCTCCAACTTTCTTCATATCTACAAGACATTTAATTAAGTAGGAGATCAGAACTCTGCATTTACATAAATCACAAAAGCTGACAGTCACTTTATTTTATTTTAGCCATTTAATTTTATTTTAAAAACCCTGAAAAACACAGTTATTGGGACATAAATAAGCCTCTAACTATAATATATTTATTTGTGTTATTTTTTTTGCTATAAAAATACTCCCTTAAAGTTTGGAGCCAGTCCTAATATCTTTATATTTTAAGCAAACCTTTGTGGGGATACAGTATATAAGCCAAAAATCTGAGTTTCTATAATTTTAACAAGCTTGATCGTCAACACAGCCTGAACTGTCTTAGACGAGCTTTTTTGTGATAGCTTGAAGTACGGTACTGTGCAAAAGTCTTGAGCCACACCACCCCTTTCTTTAAATTTTCCTTCCAAGGAGCCAGACTTTCTCTGTTTCTCTGGGCTTTCTGAAGTTCTTTCAAAGTATTTTTACACTTTTTCACCACTAATTTTTTTTTTCATGGGAATTTTTGCTTTTTTGGTAAACCAAATTGACCCATAAACCATTCAAGCATAAAAAAGGAGCACCTATCTTACGCGTTGTCTACATATGACAGACCATTTTAAATGGTATCTTTAGGCACTTTGTTACAAGCAGCCTGTCAAAAAAAGCATAATTTGTTCCCATTTCTTTAGTTGAATTTGAGGAATAATGCAGACAATAAAACAGCTTGACAGACATAAAATAATGTTTTTGCACCAACAAGGTGATTCCCAAGAGCTATTAACTGAAAACGTGGCATATCTCAGAATGTGTCCTTATAAAATGAGGAAAAATGGACAAGTGGAGGACAAAAGAAGTGTCAGGTCTAAAAAAAAAAAATATCCACAGCAGATGAAAAGTATCTGAAAGTCATGTTCTTAAGAAAGTCCTGACACAGGACCTGAGAGACGCATCTGGCCTTCAGCTGATGTGTCTACTGAGGTCTTACTGAGATGAAATTATTAGCATAACAGAGAAGACAATAAGAAAACAGACATATAGTTAAGGGACAAGAATAAATCTTGCTAAATTAAAGATCATTTTATGGACGTTTTTACTAAAAAAAAATATAGAAAAAGTTTGTTGATCGGTGGTCAACAGCATCTTCAAACATTGAAGATATATACTATACTGTACACGTTTCAGGCTACTGCGTGCATTTAGATATAACCACATACTGTACAATAAACACATGAAATATTACATGTTGTTTCACAAGAGAACATTTCTTTGCACAGATCAATTTACATGCATACACAGTGCATCATTACCAAGAGGACCAGTCACAGTTGCTCGTATCTTTCTGTCTGGTTACATTTCTGCGAGGCGGAGCAGGGTAATTTGATATAGAGTTATTGGCTCGCTGAAAAACCCAGGCGATTCAGGTGATCTCCAATAATCTCTCTCTAATATTCTTGCCTGATCAAATCACAGCCTTGAATGTTAAAAATGGCAAAAAAAATTGATGGATTATTTCTCGGTTTAGTGCACGTTTAGTGTGTTAGCATTGCTCAGCTAATAATTGGGCTTTTTGCCTCAAAGCCAAACATATTTACCTTCTTCTGGCTTTAGATCAAGGAGTGTTTTTGGGCCACTTTGTTCTCCGTTAAGACGCTGCGCTTAAAGCACAAATGTCAAGAGGTTTACCGGCCACTATGGACAAACATTCATTTAGCTGTTTTCTAGTTACATAATTGATTGGTTGGCTCACCTGTTCTTTTTAGAGTCCTGCATCTTTACCAGTCTTGCATCTTTATCAGCTTAACTGCTTGAAACACCAAAAAACCACAAGTGAAACTCAGATTGGCAACTAATTGGCTAATATCAGCTCTGCGTGGGACTATAGTGCTAAAGGTTTATGCAAAAGATGACAAAAACTAAAAGTGTGGCAAAGAGAGGTAACTGTAATACCTTCATTATTCTAAATGGGATATTTTAAAGGAGAACTCCGTTGATTTTTATCACAGTCTGTTCACAGCTTTGGGGGACTACTGCTAAATATGGAGAGAAGGTTGGATGTGTTTGTGGCTCAGGAGTGAGCTGAGGAAAATCTGATAAACTGTCTTATAGTGATGACATCACTTGAGGCAATTTAGATTGAGGTAGGGGAAGAAATGAAAGACATCTGAGGGTGTGGAGCTGCAAAGGAGCATGACACTAATAGGTATGGAAATAATGCAGTAGCCAAGCTTTGAGCATTATAACGGCCACCCAGGTGTGAGCGCGCGTCGGTGTTTTTTTTCCGAGTGAGATTAAAGCAGCACTGAGGCTGTGTGATATCAGCTTCTGGTTCTACTGAGAGTTTAAGTTCACAGTGGCAGAGAAAAGGAAAGAAGAGAGGGGGGAAAAAAGGAGAAGAAGCGCTGATAAAGGCGAGCTCAAGGCAGAATGGAGCGCAGGAGTAGGAAAGATAGATAAGGAAAGAGTTGGAGAGAGGAAGAAATAAATGAAGCGGCGTAGAGGAGAGATGTGAGAGGAGCTGAAGACTGAAGGGAATTAGGGGGAGATGAGTTCTTACATTGTCTGTTCTCCTTTGTTGGTTCACTTGTTTAACTTTGAGGATGTTAGCTGTCATTTTTGTGTGCGTGTTAGCGGATGCTTGGCTGCTTGTCACTGGGTTTTTTTATGAGTGCATATTTATGTGCAATTGTGTGCATTTGTTTTGCTCTCCTGTACTTAGTCATACAGCCTGTTTCACAGGCTGCATTCGCTCATGTGTTGGTGGATACGCTGTGCCAGTGCAGTATATCCTTGCATGCGGTGGGGTCTGCCTGTCAGGTCCTATCAGTCTGGTACCTGTAACTCTGTCAGCATGAGATCTGTGTGACTGACAACTTTCTGACTCACTGACTGACTAACCATGTGTGGGTGTGTGTGTGTGCGCGCACATCCACACACACAACTTCTCGGTGTTGCACTTATGTGTGCGTGGCCTTTACCCAGCATGTGGTAAGGAGGCTGGTTCTCCCCTCCCAGACAAAATATTAAGTCCTGAGAATAATTCAACGTGCGTCTGCTCCAATGCTTAAACACTCACAACAGGGCTTGATTACCTCTCAGCAGGAGGGCGAGCGAGTCAAGACAGCAACAACAGAGGGAAAGCAAAGGAGGGATGACAAAGCAGGCAGAGGAATGCGTGAAGGCAGAGGAACAGCTGAAGAGAGAGAAATGAAAATGAAACTCGACAGGAGACAGGCAGAAAGGTTGAGAGATGGGCTCGGTCTCAAAGGCAGCACTTTGATCTTGATTTGTATGGGCTTGCCACCAGATGTGGGATTTCAAGAGCATCTGACTCACAAGTTGCCAAATGGTCCAGAAGACCTGCTGTCAGCCCTCTATGCAGAGTGTCCATCGATGATCCCGCAGCCACTTAGCCATCAGCAGCCTGGTATCGTAACCTAGCAACACCCAGAGTGCACGCCACACTACTGCTGCTGTTTAGCAACAGTTGCGTGCAATTCGGGGAAGCTGATAAATGACAGCTGGCCCAGGTCGGAGTCAAATCTCAGCCAAAATGTAAAGGCAGTTAAATCAGAAACTGTCAGCTTTGAGGCATATGAGCCACTGTAATTAGGACTCGATTAGGAGAGGAGCCTCCTGTTTGTGTGCGCTGCTCACTTGTGAGCCCGTTAGATGCTGTAAGATGCTTCTGCACATGTGTAGGTGTGTGCAAATGTTTTTTTTTTCCTCTCTTTTTTCTTTTGCCTTTTTCTTCTATTTATTTATTTATTTATTTTTGCAGTTGCCAGACAAGGGAGCCTGGGCCAGCGTGTTGTCTGGGCGACTCATGGCCCTGAGCTCACCTGTGTACCGATAAACACAGCTGTAACCCTGCTAACTTGTTCCCCAGCCAGCTCTACTCCCACTGCTAAACACACAGAGATACAGCACTGGGGACAGAAGGTGCAGGAGGGTGGGTCAAAAGATAACACAACTGGCAACTTCCCCGTTAGAAAAAGCACCCCTTGGCTTTAGTGATGTCAATAAAGAGAGCTAGAGGCTCAGACAGCAGGGGTTTTGGGCACATTTAACCCTGATTCACTCCTGTCAACGTTTGGAGGAGAAAACTGCTCTGAGACTCACAGACACCGATGTTCAGCCCAGATTATCTGGTAAAGTGGAGGGTTTTTACAGAACCACTCTTAAACCTTTGCAGATTAATAAAATAAACATTTTTGACATTTGGAGTTAAGATCTGGATGATTATGAAATTACAAAACAAGACTCCAAATAAAGACAACAAGCAGCCAGCTCTACTGCCTAATAGCTTTCTGTGAATGTAATGTAGCGCAGTCTGGGCAGCAGAGTAATACAATTTGAAAGGGGAAAAATATATAAAAATGTCAGACTGTGGAAAATCACCAAATAGTTTAATGACCCAGGTTGAAAGCAAACAGCTGTGCAGGTGAAGAGTAATATCAGCGCCTTTTACCTACCTGTAAACATCAGTCTGAGCACAGCATACTTATCTGCAGTGGCCTCCT